TCTATTATGTACATAATTTTTGAAAATTAATATAAGATATATTTTTATATATTTTTATAATATTGTATTTGTATTTTATATATTTTTATTGTTATTTAACAATAAATAAAAGAAAATTAAATTTTTAAANAATATATTAATATAAATATAATAATATAATAAAAATAATAAAATAAATATAATAATATAATAATATATAATATAAATATAATAAATTTTAAACCTGCAATTGCTCCACATACAGCACTTTCTATTGGAAGAATTTCTCTGTCAACATGTAAACTCCAAATTTTTTTGAAATATTCCCATATTGGAAATTGTATTAAACTAAAAGGCATATCTCTTAACACAGTGCTCCAATAACCACAATACAACATTTTAAAATTAATATCTTTTCTATCTAACATCGAAACTTGTTTTTTTTGTTTTATTACTTCTACGGGTACTCTTATTAAACAAGCTACCTAAATTTAAAGTTTTTGTTATTACGATTTAATTTTCAATATAACTTTAATTCTTTTTCTTTTTTTTTTAAATTAATTATTAATTTACCATTTCTGCTAAAGATGCTGAGCTCATATGAAGAAAAGAATCATATTTTTTAGGTATTTTATATTGTGCTATACTTTTAATACTTTCATATGTTACAAAAAATAAAGAAGCTAAAAAAATGATTTAAATAATCATATATTATACATTAAATTTATAGATTTAATAGTTTTTGATTAAATATATTTAAGATAAATCTATTATTATAGATTTAAATAGTTATATATATTTTAACTGATTTCATTTTATAATAGTTGTTTACCACTTGGTGCAGAACCAATTGTTACAGGAAGAATTCCTTTATAAAGATTAGAAAATCCTCCTGACTTTATAAATCCTTGTTTAGATTGTAATCGTGTTTTTAATGTATCTAATGGAAATAATATTACATCAACTATTGTGCCAGCCAATCCTCCTGCCTATTGAAATCAATATTAATTTATTTAATAATTTATGCAATAATAATCAATGCAATTTTGAATTTTAAACTACATATAATTTATTTTTTATATTTTATATTTACTTTTTATAATTTATTTCGAGAATATTATTCTGATTTTTATAAAATATATATCAGTGATATGTAGAAATTTCTTTTTCTATAATTAAAATTTGCAAAGAAATTTTATTATACTACATATATATCATTATATACTATACATATATATATTATATACTATATACTACTATATACTACTATATACTACTATATTATATACTACATATATACTACATATATATTACATAATACTCAAAAATAAACATTTTATTACTTACTATTAATGATGTAATGAAAATACATTTCATATTTAATGATTTACTATGCGTTGTCATGATGTTTTGATATTTTTAATTTAAAGTACGACTTTTATGTACATATATAAGAGTATATTTAACCTGATACACAATAGTTCATTAAATATTTATGTAACATTAATAACATAATAAACAATATTTTAATATTATTATTATTATATTTATCAAAAAATTATACGATACATATTTTTATAATTATTTAAAAAAAATATTATTGTAATTCTAAACTATTTATTTTTAATTTAAGCAACATATAATTTAAATAACTTTTCTTTATTATCAAATAATTATTACAATTTTTCATAAAAATAACTTATATTCCTATTTTAAGGTTATAACCTATAAATAATTAATCATTTAATTAATCTAATCAACCACTTAAAAATTAATTTTATATGAATTTAAATAAAAATCTACATTTATTAACCTAATTCTTAATTACGTAAAAAATTAAAAAAAATTAAACTTTTATTTTTTAAAATTCATTTTTTCTATATTTTTAATTTTAAAGATTTCTATGATAAGATAATTTTAATTATTATATTTATTAATAAAATTTATAAGTATCTATTTAATAAAAAAAATAGAATTCGTATCTGATCCTGAAGTTTTACGAGAACCAATTGATCGTATTGTTTGATGATGAGGAATACGAAAACCTTCTAAAAGTTCTTTTTCTTTTCTTATATTAAATGATTGACTTGATATATTTGTTTTATAAGATGAAAAATATGAATTCGATCCAGTTCTATTAATAAAAATGTTTTATAAGTCATATCTTTTCTTTTATTTTTTAAAATATATTTTTGAGTGTCTTAATTTTTAACTTATACCTTATTGTTGAATTTCTTTGATTTGATTTCATTGGTGTAGTTCTATTATTCAAAAAGTTTGATGTTTCATTTTGCATTTCGAATGACATCAATTTCTTTTTTTGTTCAGTATATTCCATTTTTAATTTTATATATTTATCCCTAATTATATTTATGTGTTGGGTAAGGTTATGATAATGTGATTTCAACGTTTCGTATTTTTGATCCTTAAATTTATAAATTATTATTAATTATAAATTAATTTATATATTTTTTTTAATTTAATATATAAATATTAAGAAGAATAAAACAGAAAAAAACAAAAACTGCACAATTTCATAAAAGCGTTGCATCATGATTTTCATTTGATTACTTTGAAAACCACATATTTTATGTAATGATTCCAATGATTCACTCAGTGGAACAAAGAAATTTTCTACTTTTGACAATGATGGTTGTTGTAATTCAACGGAAAAAATATCGATCTGTTCACATTGAGGACATTGTTTTTCAGCTTATAAAAAAAAAAATTTATTTTTATAGGAGTATATTAAATGACATAAACAATATTTATTAATAATTTTATTTTATTTATTTAATTTTGTTTATTATTACCTTGTTGTATGCATCCATGACAATATATATGACCACATTGAGTTAAACAAAATGGTTTTTTTCCTCTATTTGTTGTTGCAAAACACTTGTTACAAATGAATGTATCCATATTTTTAATATGTTGCAAAATTTCTTAAAACTTTAATTATATTAATCAGTATAACTATGAATATAATGATTATTGTAAATTATTATATTATAAATTATTATAATATATTTTTCAATCTTTTTAAATTTGATTATATAATCGTTCGTATTTTACATTTGAATTGAATTCGTCTTACTTTGAGTTCAATCGGTAATGTTGGAAATAACATAAAAATGATATAAATTTCTGATTTTTCACTTTCAAATTTTTTTTTTCAACATAAGAATATATTATTTTCGTTTTTAAAATATAAAAAATAACGCTAATAAAATTATATATGAAATTTTAAGATTTCAATTTTTAATAGTTCGGCGAAAAAAAATTTTTTATTTTGTTACTTATATATTTATAATTAAAAATGTTAATGAAATTAAAAATTCTTATTTTTATAAAAAAATTTTAATTTCTAATAATAAAATTTATTTGATGATCAAAAATATTAAATTAAATTACAAATTGAATTGTTCTACTTTACATTAATATTAGAATGTATTATAATAATAATTATAACATTAATATTAGAATTTATAGAAAATATTTATAGAAATATTTATAGAAAAAGAATATTTAAAACAGTGGCAAATATTAAAAAATATAAAAAAAAATAATCATAGTATAATTTATTATAAAAATTTATTTTAAAATGTTGCTGTATCTGTGTATAATATGTTTACGAAATATTTTTGAAATTTTCATTCTAGAGATAAATAAACACAAAAATTGATATATAAAAATTAGCTAAATTATTTATTAAGTTACAAAGCCTAGACAATTTTTTTATCATTGTTTCATGATCATTATTATTACACAGATTTTCTCATTATTAATAAAATTCTTCTATATTTTGCTTTATTGTTACATAATTATATACACTCTTATGTCTTCTTTCTATCTTTTTTTTATATTCTAAAGAATATAGTGGATTGAGATAATGGAAGTAAGAAAATAAATCACATATTACTTATGAATCACCAATTGTTTGCATATATCAGTTAGCATTAGATAAAGTAAGGCACAGATAGAGTGAGACGCTGTTATTTTTTTTCCATTTCTCTTCATTTAACTTAAATTTAAATTGTTTATAATTTAAATTCAATCAATATTTTTATATAATAACTTACTGTTTGTTTTAGAATCAAATCTTTAAAGATATCTCATAAATTTATTCATTATTTAGTAACATCCTATGTATCGTATATCTTTCATTTTGATTTGATTAGAAACAAAAAATTAGCAAAATATAAATTAAATTAATTCAGCATTCAAAGCAAATATAATTCTACTTCTTTTTAAATTGTTATATTTTGTAATCGTTATATTAGTAATCGTTTAGAAATTAAAATATAAAATACATTTAAAATAATTTTAAAAGAAATAGAACTGAGATGTTAAATTTAATTGATTATTTCTGATAGATATATAATCATAAAATCTAATCACAAAATAAAAACGTCTTTTAACTAAAAATATCACATTTCTAGATAAGATCATATTATATGTAACACCACGTGTTGTCAATGAGTAAGAAAGTGGAATATCTATCTTCTTTTACTTCTATGTTTTATCGATGGCCAAATTCCAAATTCATAAATGAAAACAATATCGGAAATATTAAAAATCAAAAAAATAGAGCACAAAAATGAGGTTCTATATAAATGAAGCGTATATCAAATTCAATCATATTTTCAGTCAAAAAATATGTTGTTATAATTTAAAAAAATATATATTTCGAATATGTAAATGAATGGATTTTAATAAAATTCCATAAATAACTTACTAGATTTTGAATAATAAAATTTATGTATATAATAAATTTTAAAAATGTAATTTTTGGATTTATTAATTTTTTATGTAAATTAAATATAGTAATGAATATAATAAATTAATGTTAAATATAATAAGTTCTAGATATTTTTTATAATTTATAATTTTATAATTTTATTTTTTTCATGTTAATTATTTAATATTATAAATATAAAGAAATATAAGATAGATATTGTTTGATAATAATGGTAATAATTGATTATATTTATAATATAACAAATAGAAGTTTATTATTTTTATTTTAAATTTTATATTTCATTTTATTTATAAAAAACTATAAGATATTTGAGAATCTTTAACCTAAATTCTAAATTTTAAATATAGAATCAAATGAAGGATCAAATTCAGAGAAATCTAGTTAGCTTCGATAATACCACAAGCCCAACGATCTCCCGAGTTTCCAGTGGTTGAAGAAAGATTACTGTTTCCTTTTCCTAAATCATCTTCACCAGAATGAACAACTATTGCACGTCCAAGAATATTATTCTTTCCAGTCAAAGAAATAATGAAATCTTTGATGTGTATATCTGCTTCACCTTTAGCGTTTGCTCGAATATTACCTAAATCGCCAACATGTCTTATTGGACTATCTTGTCCACCATGGGTAACCTAAAATGTATATATTAAATAATATATATTAAATATTATATATATATTAAATATTTAATTTATCATTTGATTTAATGCATCGAGAATTAAATATTATATATAATACTTTATATATAAACTTTATATGTATAATTTACATTCTCAGGATTAAAATGTGGACCGGTAGATGTGCAACCATTTCGTAAATCTCCTTTTTCATGTACATGGAAACCATGTAATCCTTTTGTAAGTCCACTTATTTTTCCAGTAATATGAACAGAATTATCATCATTTTGAACAATAGTTAGTTTACCCGTTACGTTTCTTATTTGGGCATTATGAGGTATCAAATTGACGTTTGCAGTTTTTTTCTATTTTTATGATAATAAATATTTATATTATTACGGTTTGCAAGTAAGTTTATATAGTTTTATATTATATAAAAATTAAAAATTTGAAGTTTATATTATTAAAGATTTTGTAAAGATTCAATTGCGAATAATATCGATGTCCAATACAAAAACTATCGATAGCAATTTTCAAATATTAATATCATAAACAAAAATCTAAATATTATATTAATACTATATAGATAATAGATATAATAGATATTATAGTATTTTCGTAAACTTACTTTCTCAGTCTCAGTGACAGATTCGACAATTAGAATTCCAACTAGTAATACAATTATTCTATTCATAATGAATGTTCTGAAAACAATTTCAAATTATTATATATAATTTAATTATGAAAATTTAATTTTTTTAACTTTTAATTAGTTTAATATTAAATCATTATGAAATTTTAAAATCTTTTTTATTATTAAATTATTATTAATATCACAGATTATAAGTTTACATATTTTTTTATAAAGTTTAATGTTAATTAAAATGAAGTCAATTAAATTTGAAAAATGGCAAATAAATAATTTTCCAAATTATATTTATATTTAAAAGGAATATACTTACATAATAAAATATTAAAATTAACAATTTAAACAAAAATTAATATAATATAAATTTATATTATTTATAA